CAGGTTTTGCCCATTACAAATAGCGTGCTCTGAATATTCTAGCGTAGTATGTGTCTTTTTGGTGAACATGTTGGATCTACATCTAGAGGCAGAATTTCTAGGTCAAAGGTCAACATGTGTTCTGTTTTGGCTCCCCAGGTGGCTCAGTGATAAAAGATAAAAGTGACTGAAGCACGCACCCACACATATTTTGTTTTAGCAGAAGCTGCCAAAAGGTTTTCCACAGTGATGCTAACAGTTGAAGTTCCCACCAGTTCTGATTACTTCATATCTTCACTCGCCCTTGATATTTCTGCCTTTTTCATTTTAGCCATTCTGGTAGGTGTATAGTGCTATGGCACTGTGGTTTTAATTTGCATTTCCCTGATTACTAATGAAGTAGGACATCTTTTCATGTATTTATTGGCCATTTGGGTCTCCTCTTTGATCTGTTCAAATCTTTGGCCTATTTTTTTTTAATTTTTATTGGAGTATAGTTGATTTGTTTTGCTATTGGTATGTCTTTTCATGTTGGGTGTTTTTGTATTGATTTGTAGGAATTCTATGTATATTTCAAGCACAAGTGTTTTTTCTGTATATGTTTATTACAAATATCCTCTCCTACTTTGTGGGTCATCTTTTAACTCTTCAAAATGTATTTTTTGTTAAAGGAGAGTTCTTAATTCTGATATAGTCCACTAAAAAATTATTAACTCCTTTGTTTTATTGTTTAAGAAAACCCTGCCTCTTTTAAGGTCATGAAGATGTGCTCTTAATGCTTTCTTCTAAGTTTTTATTATTTTACTCTTTCACATTTAGGTCTGGAATTTACTTCTGTTTATGGTGTGAGGTAGTAGTTACATTAGGCTGAAAAACAGTCTCCCAATGACGTGCACCTCCTAATTCCTGAAACTGTTATCTTCTATGGCAAAGTGTCTGCAGAGTGACTAAGTTAAAGGACTTGAGCAAGAAAGATTATCCTGGATTATCTAGTTGGGTCCCAAATACAACCACGTGCATTCTTGTAAGAGGAAAGCAGAGGGAGATTTCACACACACACACACACACACACACACACACACACACGGAAGCCCCCATGAAGATGAAGCAGACAGAGAGAGATTGGAAGTTACTCGCCTTGTGACTGGCTCGATGTAGCCACAAATCAAGCAGTGCCGGCAGCTCCAGAGATGGAAAAAGGCAAAAAACAGAATCTCTCTGACGGCCCCCAAGATGTTGGCTCTGCTAACACATTGATTTTGGCCCAGTGATACTGATTCTGAACGGCTGACCTCCAGGACTGTGAAGGTATAAAGTTCTGTGGTTTTAAAAAGTTTCAGGTAATTTTTTACAGCAGCCACAAGAAGCCATTAGAGGGGTCAAGATGCATTTTCCTCACAATATTCTATCTAGCTGACCCAGCACCATTTCCTGAAAAGATCATCCTTTAGTCTGTTCGTCTGCTCTTGTACCAATGCCACACTGTTTAATTTCCTCTTCCTACAATAGTTCTTGATGTCTGGTACAGTAAGTTCTATGGTTTTGTTCTTTCTTTTTTTTTTTTTTTATATCAATGGCTTTTCCTTTGCATCTCCATATACATTTTCGAATCAATTTGTTAATTTCAGGGGAAAAAGTTCTGGGATTTTTGAATTGGGATTGTGTTGAATCTTGCAATTAATTTGAGAAGAATTGAAATGTTTATACTATTGAGGCTTCTAGTCCATGAAAATGATACAGCTCTCAGTTTATTTAGATCATATTTAATGTCAAATAATGATGTTAATAAAAAGTTAAAAATTGAGATATAATTAACCTACCAAAAAATTCACTCATTTAGAGTAGACAGGGTGGGACTTCCCTGGTGGTCCAGTGGTTAAGAATCTGCCTTCTGATGCAAGGGACATGGGTTCAATCTCTGGTCAGGGAATTAAGATCCCACATGCAATGAAGAGCCCATACATTGCAACAAAGGCCCAGTGTGGCCAACAAAATAAAAGAGTACAAGGTATTCCCTGCTGGTCCTCTGGTTGGGATCCTGCACTGTAACTGCTGAGGGCTTGGATTCAAGTCCTTGGTTGGAGAACTAGGATCCCATAAGCCTTGTAGCACGGCAAATGAAAAATGTGTACAATTCAGTGGGGTTTTTTTTTAAGTATATTTACAAAATTGTACAATCATCACCACTGTCTATTTTCAGAATATTTTTTATTACTCACCAAAGAAACTCCATCCCCACTGGCAGTCATTCTCTACATGCCCCTTCCTTCAACTTGGCAACCACTAATTTCTTTTTGTCTGTATAGATGTGCCTATTTTGGACTTTAAATATATAGAAGTAGAATCATAGAACATGTGACCTTTTGTGTTTAGCTTCTTTCACTTCACATCATGTATTCCAGGTTCACCCATGTTGAAGCATGTATCAGCGCTTTTTCTCTTTCATGGCTGAATAATATTCCATTATTCAGGCAATACCAAAGGCAATGCCAAAGAATATTCAATCTACTGCCCAACTGCACTCATCTCACATGCCAGCAAAGTAATGCTCAAAATTCTCCAAGCCAGGCTTCAACAGTATGTGAACCATAAACTTCCAGATGTTTAAGCTGGATTTAGGAAAGGCAGGGGAACCAGAGATCACATTGCCAACAGCCGCTGGATCTTGAAAAAGCAAAGAGTTCCAGAAAAACATCTACTTCTGCTTTACTGACCATGCCAAAGCCTTTGACTGTGTGGATCACAACAAACTGTGGAAAATTCTTAAAGAGATGGGATTCCAGACCACCTGACCTGCCTCCTGAGAAATCTGTGTGCAGGTCAAGAAGCAACAGTTAGAACCGGACATGGAACAACAGACTGGCTCCAAATAGGGAAAGGAGTCCATCAAGGCTGTATATTGTCACCCTGCTTATTTAACTCATAAGCAGAGTACATCATGCGAAATGCAAGGCTGGATGAAACACAAGCTGGAATCAAGATTGCTGGGAGAAATATCAATAACCTCAGATATGCAGATGACACCACCCTTATGGCAAAAAGAGAAGAAGAACTAAAGAGCCTCTTGGTGAAAGTGAAAGAGGAGAGTGAAAAAGTTGGCTTAAAACTCAACATTCAAAAAACTAAGTTTATGGCATCCGGTCCCATCACTTCATAGCAAATAGACGGGAAAACAATGGAAACAGTGAGAGACTTTATTTTGGGGGCCCCAAAATCACTGCAGATGGTGACTGTAGCCATGAAATTAAAAGATGCTTGCTCCTTGGAAGAAAAGCTATGACAAACNCAGGTGGCACTAGTGGTAAAGAACGTGCCTGCCAATGCAGGAGACATGGGTTCCATCCCTGGGTCAGGAAGATCCCCTAGAAAGGAAATAGCAACCCATTCCAGTATTCTTGCCAGGAAAATCCCATGGACAGAGGAGACTGCCGGGCTACAGTGCACAGGGTCGCAAAGAGTTAGACACGACTGAAGCGACTTAACATGTACCAACCCCTCGCCCCACCAGCACCCTCCCTTCCCCTCTGTGTCTTTTACAACTGCCCCCTAAACTCTGGCCTTGGGGGTCTCTTCCCGTCTCCCTGATTAGGTCACAGTCACACACATGAGGCTCATCTGAAACTCATAGGTAGGTCCCTCCCCTCCGGCAGTGGAAAACGCCCCTTCCTGAGATGGGCCACAGCTCCTGACCTGGGTCCCGCAGCCCCCCAGGAATTGGTGAGGGATGACCTCAGACAAGGGGGTCTGGACGAGAGCAGCCCTGGCCTCCTCAGCACCACGGTCTCCGTCAAGGTAGAGCACGGTCACGGTGGTCTATCTGAAAACAGTCCCCGACGAGTGGTGAGCACCACTTACTGCCTGATCTTCCTTTCCTTGGGACGTTTCACTCGATTTCTCTTGGGGCTTCCAAGGGATACAGAATAGAAACAAGGAGAGTGCACAGTCGCTGAGCTGTACGTTTCATGCAATCGGGACCTGCTGTGAGCCCGACCCTGGGGGTCTCATCACGAGTTTAATCAGGGAGGCTTATGCTTTTTCCCCAAATCCTACTGGAGCTGCCAACTTTAGGGAAAGATGCATTAACTAGTCCTCTCTTTTGTAATAAATGGGGTTTGCTTCTCCCCACCCTTCATTTCATGAGGCGGCAGTTGGAACAGGACACAAATCCCAAGGGTGGAGATGGAGTGGACAGCCAAGAGAACAGACTGTGGCCCCACCTCTGGCTCTGCTCCCCCATCTCCAGCACATGCACTCGCTACACCTCAGTTTCTTCATGCATAAAACAAGAGGAGCCCTTGAGATTGCTGGGGGTTAGAGATAAGGGGTATGTATACAGGAGACATTCTGCATAAAGCCATCCAAATGCTGTTTCAGTTAGAGGAAACTGAGTACTTCACCTCTTCTCTAAGGCCAGCCCAAATGGCCCCTGACCCGGCGTGGCTCAGTCACATCCCTCCCCTCCATCCTCTGGGTGCCCTGGCCTCCCTCCTGCTCTTCACACATCCTCTGACCCCAGAACCTCAGCGGCAGCTACGGGCTGCACCCCGGTCTCCAGAAGGCTGTTTCTGACTCCCCCCGCAACTTCTCCATCCCTGTTTTTTTCACGTCACAGCACTGAACTGCCTGCGGTGACCCCGCTGCTTTGTCTGTGTGTTTACAAGGGCAGAAACGCACCCCAGCTTCTCCTCAAGCCCTGACCACAGAGCCACTCCCTTTCCAGAGTCCTCCCAAAGCCCAGGTCTAGACTTCCTGCTTCCCAGACAGGAGGCTGTGTCTGGGGTGGGGCCAGCCGCATCTAGAATCTTAAATCCCACCTAGGCCTCCACACAGGTGTGGCTGGCCTGCATCCTGACCCAGAGACAGTGACTCTGGTCTCCTCTGGGGACACAAAGCCACCATCTCCTCATGAGGGTCTGGAGGAGCTCAGTGTCCACGTGGGCTCGTCACCCACGGGCACTGGTGTCAGGATCCAGGCTGGGTTAACATGCTTGGAGGGGGCAGCAGGAATAAAGAGACACAGCAAGGAGGAACATCTGTATTTAAAATTCCTCCCCTTCATTCTCTTCTTCAAATGAATCAGTCCCCACTTCCTCATAATCCTTCTCCAGGGCAGCCAGGTCCTCCCGGGCCTCGGAAAACTCGCCTTCTTCCATCCCCTCTCCGACGTACCAGTGCACGAAGGCGCGCTTGGCGTACATGAGGTCAAACTTGTGGTCCAGGCGGGCCCAGGCCTCGGCGATGGCCGTGGTGTTGCTCAGCATGCACACGGCCCGCTGTACCTTGGCCAGGTCCCCCCCAGGGACCACCGTAGGGGGCTGGTAGTTGATGCCCACCTGGGAACAGAGGACCAAGACATGGTGGTCAGTGGATAACTCAAGCTGGGGCACCCTGGTCATGTAGTGGGGGAGTGGATACGGGGCAGCAGGCCTGGATGTGAAGAGTGGGGATCAGGAGGTGGGGGGCGGGCAGGTAAAAGTGCATGTGGAAGAGAAAGCAGAAGTAAGTGGGATTGGGTGGGGAAATTCGAGGGGAGAGGAAGAGCTGGCAGAAGTGCTCCCAGGAGACATAAGCAGACAAGTGAGGGTCCGGAACAGGGGTCAGGCAGGGGGCGTGTGCAGTGCCCAGAGATGGAAGTTAGCCAATGCAGGGGACACGGGAAGATTCCACATGCCTCAGGGCAACTGAGCCCATGCACCACAGCTACTGAGGCTGAGCTACAGACCCCGTGCTCTACAGCAGAAGGCGCTGCAATGAGAAGCCCAAGCACCCCAATTAGAGAGTAGCCCCTGCTCACTGCAACTAGAGAAAAATCCGAGGACAGCAACGAAGTCCCAGCACAGCCACAATTAATTAATTAAGAGAAAGAAAGTCAGTTAAAAAATCTTGCTGGATAAGTGGATTCCCCAAGTTCTAGAAGCATGGAGGGCCCTCCAAGCTGATCCAGCCCCTCTGAAGGTGGGCTACCATCCTGGAAATCTCCCTTCTCCCACACACATCCCAAACCAGGAACTCTGGGAACTGGGAAGGGGCCTCAGGTGACCACTATGAGAATACTCACAGGACACTGAGAACCGGGAGCTGGTCCCCAAATGCCTCTCCTGCCTAGGCCACTGGATCTTAACTGCCAATCTCTTAAACTCACAGCTTTAAAATATAAGTCCTCTTGAGAGGCAGAGGTGGGAGTGGCATCAGGCTACAGAGCCAAGGCGGGTAACCCAGAATGGTCTACCATTCCTCTTAGACGAAAGCGGCATCATAGGGGTGGAAGTGATGCTGAGACGGGGCAGAGGATTGAAGAGGAGAGGGAGGCAGTACCACATCACATGTCCACTGGACCAGCCATCTGTGCTCTCTCTTCAACAGCAGCATCCCTGGACCCTCGTCAGTGGGGACAAACATCCTGGGGAGTGTGCTACAGCGTGAAGTTCAACACCATCCACCCCCATGGCATGTGCTTTCCTGAGAAGCAGCTAAAGGTTCTAGCACTGCCTTATCCTTCTGGTCATAATCCCAAACTTCAGCTAAAAGTGGAGGGCTGAGAGACTTTCCTGGTCCAGTGGTTACGACTTCGCCTTCCAGTGCAGGGGGTGCCAGTTTGATTCCTGGTGGGGAGCTAAGATCACATATGGCTCGTGGTCAAAAAACCAGAAACATAAAACAGAAGCAGTTATTGTAACCAATTCAATAAAGACTTTAAAAAATAAATAAAAGGATGAGAATATGGGGGCATCTCTTTTTTGTTGATTTCTTGATCACCCTTTTTTTGTCTATTTATTTTACTACTAGCTTGTTTTGTTGTTTCTGTTTGAAAGAGAAAATAACAACAACTTGGGGTAAGATCGTGAATGTTTTCACAAGTGTGACCAGAACTGCCACGTTAGGACAGATGCAGCCCAGGGGAGAGGATTCCGGTCGAGGGTGGGAGCAGAGCTGTGCGGAAACCACTCGCCCATCAGCAGCTCAGCCAAGAGCCCGGCACGCGGTGCCTTGTTTGCAAAAGTCCCACCAGGGAAAACTGAGACGACTGACTCATCTCTGTCTCCAGCAACTGGCACAACCTCCTCTGGTGTTCGGTAAACCTCTGAATTATTAAAGGCCTGCCTGAGGAGACTAGCTAACATGAACGGTGGCAGTTGCTCTGATGGTGAACTCTGATGAGAGACCCTGGGCAGAGGCAGTTGTCTGTCTAGCCAGGGCAACTCAGAGGGGCGGCTCCCAAGAGCATCCTCGGTCCTGAGAGCTGGGGTCTTCTATTCCCCCACTGACCCACAGACCACAAACCTACAACCAGCTCCCAGCTCACTCCTGCTTAGTGAAAACATCAGGGCTTCATAATGTAAGTGAATCACAGCCATATAATAACCATAAAATTTCTTATCCTTACTCTAAATTGATGAAAACATACAAGGTGAACAATTTTTCAAAACAAACTGGGGAGATGGACACATCCTTTGTTAGAGGAGGGAACTGCATCTCTTCTCTGACAACTTGAATAATCCGGTCACTGCATTCTCTGATCTATGGTCAGGTCAGGGCTACCTCTACCCCCCTGCCCGGTTACCCCACTTGCACACACTGGCCTAGTTCTCTCCTACCAGATCTCTGAGATGCTGACAGACCATCCGGTGGGAGCGGTGGGCCCTCCCACTTTGCCATACTGCCCCTCCCCTCATCCAGTAACCAACCCCCAACCCCCAGTCTCTCCAGGCCCAAAACAAGCGCCTGAACAAATGAGTGAATGAATGAAATTAGCATTACACTGGCCTACGCCCCTCTTCCTGTGTTGTCCCAAAGCTCCCATGGAACGCATGTCAGCCCAGGACCCCAGTCTCCACCTCTTCCTCCCCATCCTCGGTCTCCCTCTGCTTCTCTAGCTGCAGGTCTCCATCGCGTCCCCCGCTCTCACCTTGAAGCCCGTGGGACACCAGTCCACAAACTGGATTGTCCTCTTGGTCTTGATGGCGGCAATGGCGACGTTCACGTCCTTGGGCACCACGTCCCCCCGGTAGAGCATGCAGCAGGCCATGTACTTGCCGTGGCGAGGGTCGCACTTCACCATCTGGCTGTTGGGCTCAAAGCAGGAGCTGGTGATCTCGGCCACTGACAGCTGCTCGTGGTAGGCCTTCTCAGCTGAGATGATGGGCGCGTAGGTAACCAGCGGGAAGTGGATGCGGGGATAGGGCACCAGGTTGGTCTGGAACTCAGTCAGGTCCACGTTGAGGGCGCCGTCGAAGCGCAGGGAGGCTGTGATGGAGGACACAATCTGGCTGATGAGCCGGTTGAGGTTGGTGTACGTGGGCCGCTCGATGTCCAGGTTGCGCCGGCAGATATCGTAGATGGCCTCGTTGTCCACCATGAAGGCGCAGTCCGAGTGCTCCAGGGTCGTGTGCGTGGTCAGGATGGAGTTGTAAGGCTCCACCACGGCTGTGGAGACCTGGGGGGCCGGGTAGATGGCAAACTCCAGCTTGGACTTCTTGCCGTAGTCCAGGGAGAGCCGCTCCATGAGCAGAGACGTGAAGCCTGAGCCGGTGCCGCCCCCGAAGCTGTGGAAGATGAGGAAGCCCTGCAGGCCCGAGCAGGCGTCTGTCTGAGAGAGGAGGACACAGACAAAGCTCTGAGGACAGCCTTGCATGGGCACCGGCAGGCAGCCCTCGCTGTTGGCCCGCTCCATCCCACAACATTTTCAAGTGGGTGAAATCAAACCGTCCTTGAAGAAGTCAGAAAACACAAAGGAGCTGCAGCGCTCTTGGGAGGGATGGCCAAAATATGGGGCAGCAAACACGCACTCGCCTCCAGGTCCATGAAGCTTCCAGCCCAGTGGTCTGTTTGGACCAGGAATGAGGTTCCGAAAGGACTTTGCCCTGTGTGGACCCCAGCTCCTTGCCCATTCCCCTGGCCCTGTCGTTTGATTCTGTGGAAACTGCAGGCTTATACATCCCCACCCAACTTTGCAAGGTGGCTCAGGGTACCAATTTCAGAGAGATAAATGGGTCAGAGACCCTGAGATTTAACATCAACTTTGCCATTTCCCAGCTGTAAATATTTGAGCAAGTTACTGAACCCTCCGGACTCAAGTTTCTTCTTAAGAGGTGGACTATAAACACATTCCTCTCATAAATAAGGTTACTGTGATGGTTCAGTGAGAAGTCCCACTGTGCTCAGCAAGGACAGTGAGCCCTCACCAGGACTAAGAGAATTCGTAGGTCATGGAACTTCCCCGCTGGATGTGATCTATGACTGTGTTCAGTTGGATGTTCTGAACTTTGGGGATCGCAGATGACTTTGGGACTGATGACCCCCATGAACCCTGCTCTAAACAGGAAAGGTGAACAAGCGAAAACTCGGCACCCTTAGCTCCCAAGTCAAGAGCCCCTGATTAAGCTCGCCTCTCCACTGCACAGATAGGAACGGGGCTCAAGTAGACAAGTGACTCCCTGAGCTTCCCAGTCAAACCAACCCAGTTCAGACCTTGACTCAGCCACTTTCTAGCTGGGGGACCCAGACCAAGTCACTGAACCACTCTGGCCTTCTGTTCCCCCAACTGTAAAGTGCAGGCACGAGATCACCTTTGTATCATTGTTTAGGGGATTAGACAAAGGAACGTATGTGACATTTGTAATAGCATCTGTAAAGTGCTGAAATAGACCAACAGTCTTCCTCTCCTCCTCCAAGTTAAATGCTTTGTTAAGTGAAATAAATTCACCTTTTCAACCTGCTCAAAATAAAACAAAAAAATGCTTTGTTAACTTGTTGCTGCCATCCAGCAAAGAGTTCCACCTTCCTCACCCCTGGGATTTCTCCCCAACACCACCGCAGAGCATCCGTACATGCTACTAGGCACCAGCCTGGAGGGCAGCCCACATAGCCCAGGCAGAGGAAGGGGCACCAGCCCTGAATATGCCTTTTACAGAACACAAGCAGAAATTCCCAAGTCTCAGGTGTTTATCCTGCAACAGGGGGCCACATCCTCCTGCCGGCCTGTCCACGTTGGCAGGCTCTCCAGCTCCCCACTCTTGCAAACACGTACCAGCTTGCGGATGCGGTCCAACACCAGGTCGATGCTCTCCTTGCCCACCGTGTAGTGGCCCCGGGCGTAGTTGTTAGCTGCATCCTCTTTTCCCGTGATCAGCTGCTCTGGATGGAAGAGGTGGCGGTAGGTTCCTGCCCGAACCTCATCTACCGAGAGAGGGCGACCATCAGTCTTACCATCTGGTTCCCAGAGGAGATGTCCCCCTTCCAGGAGAACACATGACACCCTTATCTACTAAATTCCACTGAGGTGGAACAGAAAACCCCAGAATACATCTGCGAGGCCAGGGGAATTTCAGGCTAACACGGGCTCCACTGGAGCAGAAGCCTGGGACTCAAGCAGCAGTGAGAAGCCAGCTGCTCTTGGGGCAGGACCTTAGGGAGCCTTGGGTTTGTTCACAAAGCTGGGCAGATACCAAGGTTGACTGCCTCATCCCCCTGGACCCCCACGGCTTCCCTCCAGGTTTTCCTTCATGCTGCAAAATTTATCCCAGAATATAACCAACTTTACTCGCCTCTAGATGCTTCAGGGACACAGGGAAAGATTCTGAATGACCTTCTCCCAGGCTCCCCAGGGATTGCCCCAGACCTAACCTCCACCTCCGGAGGCAACAATACACATCAGGCATTAGAGATATTTCAGAACGACTTTGAAGCAAAGCTGTGTTCCAGGTTCCAGAAGAGCCCGAGCCCGAGAGTGGTTCCAGCGGCATGGGCGCTCTGCTCACCTCTTAGGTCCACCTGACCAGGGTGCCTCAGGCCCCACCGCCATCCCCTCTCCTCTACAGTGCCCCTCTGCTCCTCCAGGGAAAGCACCCATCGGTACAGTGGCCCAGGAAGGTCATTTATCCTTTCTGTATTTGTACAAAGTGTCCGAAAGGTGGAGGGCCTGGTGTCTGTGGCCCTAGAGATAGTGCTCAGGCTCTAAAGGCAGTGCCCAGACATACCTGGGGACACATCCATCTTTGCTGGTGAGTACGTTTTGAAGCTGAGGAAATGCTGATGAAGCGTATGGACTGACCCAGGGGTGCTAGGGGTGGCAGCAGGGAGAACAAAAATCCTGCCCCAACACAAGTCAGTACTCCTGTTTCCCTAAGATTCAGACGAGGTTCACTCTAACCTCCATCAACCTGGGCTGTAAGAGAAAGTGCCTGCTGCTATTTCGTCTCATGTGCGACAGGCTGCAAGGTAACACCAGGCCCGCCAGGACGGACTGCAATCACTGCAGAACTGGAAACATACACTTTGGGAAACTGACTATGTGAGGGCTTCTGATAATTTCTGAAATTACTGGTATATTTGACCCTTAGTATTTAGTGAACAATTTTAGCAATTTTGGTCTGCCTCAGCAGTTTTAGGGGGATAGCGCCAGGATGAAGCTTTAACAGAGTAGCAGAGACCTCTGATCCCCATTTGAGACCCCGAGACTAGGAAGGGTTCCAGGAACCAAGAGTCACATGGGGTGAGGGTGGGAGTCAGGAGGGTCACCATTCCACGTGGAGGTCAGCCTCCCAAGCCTCCCCAGACACCAAGGTGGACCGCAGCACCACAGTGGACTGCAGCAGACCATGGTGGACTCCAGCCTCCGCAGCCTGGTGCTGCTCCTGGGCAGGACCCTGGCCCACACTCACCCACCACTGTGGGCTCCAGGTCGACCATGACGGCCCGGGGCACGTGCTTCCCGTTGCCGGTCTCACTGAAGAACGTGGTGAAGGAGTCATCGTCAGGGACCTTGCTGGCCTGTGCGCCAAAGGTGCCATCGGCCTGGATCCCATGCTCCAGGCAGAAGAGCTCCCAGCAGGCATTGCCGATCTGGACCCCAGCCTGGCCCACGTGGACAGATATGCATTCCCGCTGCAGGCAGAGAGCAGGCCAGTCAGAACCCCAGCCGGCCACACCTCTGCCCAGACCCCCAGACTCCGCCTCTGAGGACTTGTCCCCTCCTGGCACTAGGCAGGCAGGACACCCTGCCCCCGCCCAGCAGGCGGGCTCCTGGCCCCACGGCCTCTGGATCAAGACTTGGTTCCAAAGAAGAACCCCGGCTCCATGGTTTGCTGTGAGGGTGGCTTTCCACAGTTAATCCTTTGTGTCAAGAAAAGGAAAGAGAGGGTCAGCCACACAGATGAAACAGGATTAATTCCCAACCACGGACGGACTCCTGCACTGGTGAAGCCGGTCCAAGGAAGATCCAGTGAGAACAGCAGAATCCATTCTCAAATCCACCTCCATGTCTGGTGCACTGATCATGTTCCTCCCTCAGCCAGAGTCTCCCAGAAACTGTCTCACACACACACGCACACATGCTCACGCACACACTGCACATCTCCCCATTGCAGAGCGGAGAAACACCCACGGGAGGACTATATCTAGGAGTCTGTATCATGGGTGTCATCACTGCTTCATGCACAAATGTCAGTACAGGGGCTTCCCTGTGGGTCCCAGCAGTTAAGACTCTGCCCTCCCAATGGAGAGGGCCTGGGTTCAGTCCCTGGTCAGGGAACGAGATCCCACATGCTGCAACTCACACCTGGTACAGCCAAATAAATAAATAAACAAATATTTAAAATAAACATTTGTTTTTTAAAAACAGGATCTGCACATCAGCAGGGAAGGGCTGGGAGGGGACAGGCAGGCCCCCTGTGGCCACCATAACCTACTCCCTCACCCATCAGGCCAAGAGCCAAAGAAAGCTGACCTTTAGAGGGTCCTTCTCCGTGTTACTCTGGTGTGAAGCCACAATTACACGACTGGTTCTGGTATTAACAGCTTAGGATAGGGAGGGGTGCGTGTATCTGAATGTGCGAGGTGATATATGTGTGGGTGTATGTTTGTAAGAGTGTGATCGTGAGCGTGTTCGAGAGTGGCAGTGTGTATGTGTGTGCAGACATGAGTGTGTGTGCTGTGATCGTATAGTGGTTAGCACTCTGCGATGTGAGACATGAGCGTGTGTGAGTGTGTTATGGTTCTGCTGGGGCGGTGTGCCCATCATCCCCCACGCCCCTCCAGGGAAGTACTGGCCCCACAAGGAGCCTCTGTGCCCGGGACAGAGCTGGGCTGGGAACCATGTGCCTGGTGTGTGGCCTTCTATTCTTATCCATGACCCGAGCTGGCATTTTCCAGCTCCAGGGAACCCAAACCCAGTGTACAGCCTCCAGAGACCAGGGCTGGGTGAAGGCCATGGGACTCCTGGGACCCGGGGGCTCTCCTGGTGTGGGGGTAGGCTGGCCGGAGGCATCAGGACCCAGTGCCCTAACGCTGTTGTGCAGCATGCACGCCGGTCTCTGTGCTGCTTGGCCTCTGGGCCTCACAGAGGCCTGGCCGGGAATACAACCGGCCATGTTTCCGTGAGCCTGGTGGCCAGGAAAGGGCTTTACGCACGAATCTTGCCTCTCAAGTTACGAGCTGTGCTGTGTGGGCTGGGCTGAGTTACATAACCTCCCTGCGTGTGAAAAGCACAAGTTACCATGATCATTTCTGCTATGGTCGCCCTTGTCTTCAGCATCATCATTACGCATTTTCATCCCTGTAGCCTTACTCTCCACCTGGAAGATGCACCCATGGGAAGCCAGAGACCGCAGGCTACTGCTCCTCTTATGATGAAAGGGCTTCATCTTAGGGCTCGATTCAGGCATGAGGAAGCAGGATCCTTCCCCAAGAACCCCAGAATCCAGCAGCTACTGACTGGACCACACTTTCACAGGAAGCCATGGCCTTCTCGGGGACAGCACGTGTGAGCGAGGGGACCTGGAGAGGCCTGAAAGGAGCTGGTCCCACATGCTGTCCTGTGGCCCCGCCCCCAACCATCTCCAGGCACCCCTCCCCCACCCCGCCGTGGGTGCTCTGGGCCTTTCTGGAAGGAAAGGAAGTTCAAAGGTGAGAGGAGAAGACGAAAGGATCTGAGGTCCTGAAGACCACCAACGTGGGGACACGGATGTTTTCACATCCCTTTAACGTCATGCGAGTCAATATGCCAGTCTCCATAGCAGAAATCAGCTTCACACACACAGGCACACAGCCCGCAGGAGGAGGGAGCTGGCTTCCCTGTTAAACTAATTCACAAGAGTAACTAGAAGCAAAAGACAGACTCAGAAATAACACGGGTCAGAAAGAGGAACAGCAGTAGTCAACCAAAATAGGATGGACACGCAAAAATCCACAAATCCTTCGTGTTGTTAAGGAAAAAAACCCACAGGAGAGAAACGTATCTACCTATCCAAACAGCCCTGTTGACGAGGGAGAGCGCTTCTTTTAACAGAAGACTGTGAGCTAGTCAGGGTGGAAGGAATAATATACTAAGAAATATTGCATACGATAGTTTCTAATTTTATAATTGATTTGGACAAGGACTGAAGGGGAACTAGATATTCACAGAGTGCCAAAGAATCACTGTTACTTACAGGTCACAAGGGGAAGTTAACTTCAATGGTTACCGGCCTCTGACCCTGGGATGGACTGTAATCTTTGACCCTGGGATGGATCATAACCTCTGACCCTGGGATGGATCGTAACCCCACGGCAGCGAGAAAACCCGATGTAATGCAGTAGGACACACACACCTCCCAGGAAAGCTTCTTGTCAGCCTTAACAAATATTGTATATTAACACATACATATGGAATACAGAAAAATGGTACAGATGAACCTGTTTGCAGGGCAGGAATAGAGACCCAGACGAAGAGAATGGACTTGTAGACACAGAGGGGGAATGGGAGGAAGGGACAAATGGAGAGAGTAGCACGGACACATATACACTACCCTGGGTAAAACAGGTAGCTAGTGGGAAGCTGCTGCACCGGACGGCGAGCTCAGCTGGGTGCTCTGTGATGACCCAGGGGCTGGAATGGGGGCTGGGTTGGGAGGGAGGCTGGAGAAGGGAGGGGACATGTGTACACACAGCTGGGTCACTCTGCTGTACACAGAAACTAACAGCATTGTAAAGCAATTATACTCCAAAGAAAAATAAAACTTTTTAAAAACTTAAATACTGAGCCTTAGTGTATTAAACCCTTTATAGGTAGCTCCCACTTTATAGAAAACACAGGGCTCCAGGGATAAGAGACACTACAAGCATGACTCCACAAGTCGGTAAGTTCTACAGAGCAACTGACCCGCTCTTCTCAACTCATGAAAATCAAAGGTGAGGGAGGAACCGACGACCCACATCGAGTGGAACTTAAGAAATATAACATACACATGGAGTGTGTGAATTTTAACTGAATTCTGGTTTGAACAAATCAAAATATTTGAGGGGATAGATAGATAAACTGATTAATGTTGTTAAGCATGATAATGAAAGTGTAGTTAAGTATCAAAAAGCTCTTATTTTTAGAGTCACTTCTGAAGCATTTAGAGTAAAACGTCATGACATCTACATTTGAGTTTACTTCGACAAGCACAGCAGATAAAGTAAACATGGCAGAAAAATAGTAATTATTAAATCTAGATGACGGATATGTGGGTGGTGATACACTGCCAAACTCTTCTAAAGTTTTGACAGTTCTCATACTGAAAACACAAACATTTAAGAAAGGAAACAGTGAGATCCGGGTGAGGAGCCATCGACAAGGGCTCATCGACATAACAACCCATCGACAAGGGCCAGGCCTGTCCTGTTCCTGTCCACTTAGTCATTCATTCAGCTGACAATTTCCAAGAGCCCAGTTTGTTGGGCAAACAAGAACTGTAAAGTTACACAAGGGAGAATTCCTTGGTGGTCCACTGGTTAGGACTCAGGTGCTATCACTGCTGGGGACAAGGGTCCAATTACTGGTTGGGGAACTGAGATCCTGCAAACCACGCAGCACGGCCAAAATAAATAAATAAATAAAATAAAGTTATACAAGGAAATCACCAGTGAGATGAAGTTAGGGGAGGTCCCCAGTGCTAACATCTGTGCCCCGTTTACACCTGCCCTGAGGGGACAAGGATCCCATCTGCTCCTCCAGCCACTCTTACTTGTCACCACCCCTCATTCCTGCCTGGAGGTTCTACACAGAAAAGCCAGGAGCATGTCCAGTGCTGACAGCCTTGGGGGCAGGCTCTCAGGTCCAAGACAGGTAACGGGGGAGTTTTTTGAGCTCAGAGCCTTCAGAAGCTCGAGCCAGGCCAGCCTCATAGGTCATCCATTACGATTTCCACCGCTTGTTTTATAGATGAAGAGGATGAGGCTCAGACAGGTAAAGGACAGAGTGGAAATTTCACAGCTCTGTAAGGAAAGAGCCTGGGCCAAAATCCAGACTTTCTGACCTCTGCAGAGTCCTCTCCTGGACGCCACCCTGGACACTTGCCTGGTTCTCACTCCGAGCCCCCAGGGCCCAGGGGCCATGCCCCCTCACGCCATCATCAGCCCCCCACGCCCTCACCAGTCCCTTACGCCTGCATCGGCCCCCCATGCCCACAGTGGTCCACCACGCCCACAGCAGCCCCCACGCCCACCGCGGCCCAAGCCTGACAGCTGGAGCCCAGGAAAGCTTGTACAACAACACTCCAGACCAGAAAAATCTCCACTGCAGAGAGAACAGAAGAGAACGACTCAGTGTGGGCGCCTCAGAAAACAGGCCACCCTTCCTAGAAGAACCAAGACTGTGCTCTGGGTCTGGTGTTGGGGGGGTGGGGAGAGGGGTGTGGGGCAGAGGCCGGTGTGTCCTGCAGGGGTGCAGGGGGCACCGGTGTGTGTGGGGGGGCCGGCTGGTGTGTGCTGGGGAGGGTGCTGGTGTGTGTTGGGGGCGGGAATGGGGGCTGGTGCGTGTTGAGGCGTCAGGGCGGGCCTGGTGTGTACTGAAGGAGAAGTGGGTGGTGAGGGGTGGGGCAGAGCTGGTGTGTGTTGAGGGGGAGGGGGGTGTTCTGACTGGGCAAACAGTATTTACATCAAGTGTTTGCTCCAGACTCACGGTTGGTTCAGAGATTTCCTCTCTGGCCGGCAGAGCTCAAGCTTTCTCTCTCACACTGTTTGTTCCTCCCCCAGTTCTATTCTGACTCTGGACTCGTAGAGCTGACGCCAGCTCTGCTCTTGGGACCCTGTGAGAAGAAAGGGGTCCCCCCTTGGCCCGACAACCCAGGGGGTGAAGGTGAGGGAGATGGAGGGACTTAACACAGGAGCTCCCTTTTGCAAGCAAAGTATGACACCCCTACTCACACCTAGTGCTGGGTGACTCCAGAAGTGACCCGCTCTATCTGCTCCTGCGGCAGATCTACAGTCATGTGTGCAAGAGGGCATCGAGAGGGGCTGGGCCATCTCCTACTCAGCCTTCAGCGTGCTCACTGATCGCCTTCTCCAGTTGGAGGTCTGGAAGCCCCCACACCAGCACAGACCACCTCCCCTTCAGCACTATATCGCACGCTCCTAGCTAACGGTTCGCTGTTCAACTTTCCCGGTGGACAGCAAGGAGCCCCTGTTTTCTTGCCAGATTCTCAGCAGCGAGTAAAGGGCTTGAATGCAGCAAGTGATCAATAAATTCAGGGGTGATTGGAATGAAAACCCTGCTGGGGGGCTGCACTCTACTTAACAAGGAGTGGGTGGCCAGGGCCTGCATAGCAGTGGACGCTAGGGGAAGAAAAAACAGCTTCCAGCTTGGTTTCCTGGGGGAGGACTATTTGCGACTGTGTGGAGAATTCAGATGGGTTGATAGGATCTGGGGCATTTCAGCTGGATTTGGAGCAGAAGAATTTAGAGCAGGTCCCATGGACTGTTTAGGCTGTCCGAAGTGTAGGCTGGTGGAGGCTGTCTGCCCATGACCATTCTCCATGGAGAGGGTGCCCAGTTCTGCAGAACAGTAGGAAAAATGTGCTCCAGACCTTGACAGTGCTGGTACAACTCCACTGCCAGAAATCTCTCCTTGTGTCAACCTTATACACAACCAAATATGATTTCTATTTTAATATTAATCATTTCCTTTTCATTTGTTCTCAGAGAACTCAGACCCACTAATTGCAGTCCTCTGCAGAAGGAGGCTCTGGAGCTTTAAAAATGGTTTTGAAGTATCACAAGCCAGTAAAACTGGCATACTATCTTGGAAGGGAACTGACACAGGCCAGCAGTGACGGCCAGTGAAAACCCGGGACCAGGCCACATACCCCGACCACCTGTGTGTCAAGCCACACAATTGCCTTCAGGAAGCTTACTACTAGGCCCACGCACTTCCAGTTGTCAGGCTGGGATGATGAATCATGCCAGGATCCAGGTCAGAGACGACGGGTGAAAAGTAGAGCCAGGGTTCCCGAGGGATGATTAAAGCAAGAACAACATGATTCCTGGGAGGCTGCACTATCTCTGCTCAAAATCCTTCAATAAGATCATATTTGGACTCAGAGAACAGACAGCAAGCTGGAGACAACAGGAACAGAGTTGACCTCAGTTAACATCAGGTGAGATCTCAGATGGCAGGCGCCGCAGCCAGGCAGAAACAGGGTACCACAGGAGGCCCGGGGAGCAGCCGGGCTGGTCGCAGACTCCCAGACCCTTTAGACACTACGAGGCCAAAGGCCCTTGAGCTTCAGCCGACACTCAGGTCGGGAGCAGGAGAGAACAAGCAAGCTTTAATCAGCCACACGTGGTGTCCACTGCCCTCCTGGTCTCTTCTACACGCAGCTCATCACAGAGAAATTCTAACAGGAAAACACCAGCGGAGGACGTAGGCCTCAAAGACCACGGAGAGCACTGTCAGTCCCTGGTGGCCAAAGGGAGGGAGCAGTGGTCCACTCCATCCCAGGACGCCATGTCCTCCCACCCACTCCATCACTAGCCCTGTACGCGTGAGCTCTTTCCTCCTCAAAAATTATTTTAACTTTCCCTCTTCCTTTCAAGGTCACTGAGACGCCCCTCGGAGAGGACAGAGCATCACCCTTGGGCTCTGTGTGGGCCCAACCAAAGCCTGGATGCTTCCTACGGACACACTGCCTGAGGGCTGGGGGCTCCACTGCTGCCCAGAGGACGTGCCCAGGGACCTCAGGGGACCCTTCCTTAGTGATGGGAAGGGAGAACAGTGCAGTGGCTGCAGACCCCGGAGGTGCCGAGTTAGAAGATGTGCCTGCGCTCTGCGGCGCTCAGCCACACCACCTGCACAGGGGGTTCTGCAGAGGTCTGCAGACGCAGAAGCAGTGTCCATCGCATCAGGCTGTTTGTTGCCATCTGATGTCAGTTCCCCCCAAGAACGCACAGGCATGCTGCTAACCCAGGAGGAGAGCAGTGAGCAGGCTGTGCCCTCATCCTCTGTGAGCCACAGACACTTTCTCTGAGGCCCGAGTCACTGATGCCGAGACAGGTGTCACAGCCTCGGCTCCCAGGAGAACTGCTTGCCAGCGGGACCCTGGGAGCAGACTGGGACGCTCAGTTACAGGGTTAGTTATAAAATCCTCGCTTAGAACCTAAGAAATGCCGAGCCCATCCTCGACATGGGCAGCCTTCCCAGCCCTCTAGAGGGGAGACCAGACACTGGGGAAGGAAAGTCCTTTCTGCACGGGTGGGACTTTGGGGCCAGATGTGTGGGTGTGTCATCCTAGGGTTTTAGGAACAAGTCAAGGGGATTTTAAAAAGAGATTCTGAAACTGGGTCATTTGTAGTGATGTGGATGAACCTAGAGTCTGTCATAGAGTGAAATAAGTCAGAAAAACAAATATTGTATATTAATGCATACATATGGAATCTAGAAAAATGGTACAGAAGAACCTATTTGCAGGGTAAGGATAGAGATGCAGACACAGAGAACAGACATGTGGGCATGGGGGTGGGGGGAGGATGGGACAAATTGAGAGCAGCACTGACATATGTGCACTACCATGTGTAAAGCGGATAGCTAGTGGGAGGCAGCTGCATAACACAGGGAGCTCAGCTCTGTGATGACCTAGAGGGTGGGAGGGAGGCTCACAAGGGAGGAGATATATGTATACATATAGCTGATTCATGTTGTTGTACAGCAGAGACTAACACAACATTGACAAGCAATTACACTCCAAAAAATAAAAGAGGTTCTGTGAGTGTGAAATAGTCAACCAAAAAAACATCTTCCCATCAAGACAGTGCTGCCCATGTATATAAATATCCCAAATAGAACGTGTTATATAAAATTCAGTGTTTCAAAACAAAGAGTCTCTTTCCAAAATATTCAGCCATAGATTTTCAGTTAAATATCTTTCAGATTCTTTGGCACATTTAAAACAAGGCTTTTACATTTTTTTGATTTACCAGCTATTTTCAGAAACCTGCCTATTGAGTGCACATTGAAGTTTGTTTGGAGAGCTGGATTTGGGTCCTGGGATCCCCTCTAAAACTCACTGCGGCTCTGAGGTCAGAATTAGAACATGTAAGAGGCAGCACTCTGAAAATTACACAGCACTAGCTATGTGCTGGATATTATAAATATTAAATATCAGATCTTGAGTAAGCTGCCTGGGATGTGGTTCAGAATAACAGGGAGGGAGAGGAGGGGGAGCGAATGAAGTAAGATTAAGTAGATAATTGTTGAAACTGATTGAGGCATACATAGGGGTTCATTATAATGCTCTCATTTTGTATATGCTTGGATTTCTCTGCAATGAAAAGGTTAAAATAGTAAAGCTAGGTGGAGCTTTGAAAATTTGAACCATAACACCTCTTCATTTTGGAGATGAGAAAAACTACTTCAGACAGGTTAAGTGACTTGAAATCACACGGCTAGCTGCAAAGCCAGGAGCCAAAAACTCCAGAAACTCTTGGCTTTGGGCTCCCTCTGTGACCCCTGGCCACAGGCAGGCGTGGACTCCTCTGGCCACTATCCCAATATTCCCTAGGAGCCTGCTCTGGGGAGCAGGCCTGGAGCTAGAATCGGCAGAGCTGGGGCCAGAGCCAGGGGCCCTGGGCACTTTCCAGAATCAGGAGGAGGGAGGTTCTCACCTGTCCTACTGGCCACTGTCACGGGAGGAAGAGTGCCAGGACAGCCTGACCTTGGCCTGCCAGTCAAGCTGACACTGCCCCCTCCCCCACCCAGTCTTGCCACCCTCCCTGAGCCCCAGACAGGGGGGCCTCCAGTCCCCAGCTTTCTGGGTTCTCTGTGTTTTGAGATGACGTTGGGGTGAAGTGGACTGGCAGCAAATTTTACCCACCCCAAGGCTCAGGGGGCGAGGAGAGGGCCTCCAGATGGTGGGACTGCGGCGCTGGGAGAGCACCTCTCCAGCAAGTAAGATCCCCTGTCCCAGAGGAGAGGAAGACAGACAGAGGGGGCGGACACCGCGGCCAGGGTCTGAAACCCTGTGTGCCCAAGTTCTCTGGCTTTGACCCGCTTGAAAAACTGGGGAGCTGGAAGCAGGTGCCAGGGCCTGGGAAGCTGAGGTGGAGGTGGAAGTGTCCCAGACCCAAGCCAGATGGCCCGGGGTGGGAAAGGAGAAGGAAGCCCCCAGCGTCGGGTGTGTGGCCCTACGTCCCCTGACCTTTGGGGCTCTGCCACACTTGGTTGGTGGGACTTGACCCAGTGCCCGGCCCAGCCCCCACCCCCGAGTCGGGAATCCCCGGACTTGCCTGCTCCCCCACCCCGCCGGCCCGTTTCCCCGACTCAGGTCCCTGAGTTGCCCCACGGTGATGTCTCGGAACCTAACCTCTTCTGCGCTGGCGGCTCCTGGCCCCCTTCCCCTCACCTGCGTGAGCGCCCCGGCCCCGCAGGCTCACCATCGCGGCCGCTCCAGTAGCCCGTTTGCTCCCGGCTGGGCCTGCCCACCCCAACTGCTCCAGATACAGCCGCCTCCGCTGTTGTGACACTGGGAGGGAGGGGGCCGGGGACAGACATGCTGGGCCAGCAGCTGCCCTGCAGCATCACAGAGCCGGGAGGGAGGGACCGGACAGGTCACAATCGCTCCGCCCCACGCGCCCGCCCATGGCTCCGTCTCTGCCCGGGGAGCAGCGCGGGGATGGGGTGGGGGACCGGTTCCTGCACTACGCTCTGTACGATCACACTTTGTGACCCCAGCCGCCCAGGAAGGAAATGCAAAGTGCTGTTTGAATAAGTGTTCAGGCTCCCAAACTTTGATCCTCTTCCTGCGGCAGGAAAGGCAGCTGGTTAGAGTTCGGTTTGCGCCGACATCCCCAACCCGGAGGGGCGGCAGGGTGGGGGCAGGGCTCTCGGTGGGAGGGACAGGCTCCAAGCCCAGCTCTGGGGCTGCTCATCACCTCGGCTCTGGAGCCCTTGCACGTGTCCCCAGGCTGGCCTGGCTGTTGGGGGATTCACTGAGATAAAGATGAGAACCAACACCCCCCCCACCCCCGGCCCAGGAGGTACTTCTCAGTGCGTCCTTTGTTCCCGCTTCTACTCCTCTGTTCCTGGACATCACCCCTCCACCATTATTTTCAAGTCTCTTTCTCCGTCCATTTATCATCTCTCCCTCTTCCTACTTTAAAGCCCAGGATGTGGAGAACAACCTCAGGATTTCGGCTGCCTCTTGGCTCAGGAATAAGACCTTCTCTTGGGGGCTGCAAGTGATGTGTAAGGGCTAAGGGCCTTTCCCCACTCCACTGGGTTGGGGGTGGTGCAGTGGGGACAATGGGTCTGGCCCTCTCATGCTTCAGATTTTGGCCATGCAATTGATTACACTTCCCTCGCTTCCCCCCCGTCCCCTCCCCAGTTTAGCTGTAAGCATTGCAAACTTCCCACCAGAGTCCAAACTGAGCTGAGACAGTAAGGCACTCCTGTCTCTTCTCCCGCTCTCTTTAGGCCCTGCCTACCAAACCCCGAGTCACTCCAGGCAAATCCACAGCTTTTCTGCAAGGTGCCACCACCCAGAGCTGCTCTGGCAGGACGTGATGACTCGCCAAGTGTCCCAGTGCACAGATCCACCTTCCCTTCCTGATTGTCTATCTCCAGCTGGTGGACAGTGAGAACACTATTTTGTAGCTATTTGTTCTGCTGAGCATCCATTCCTATGTTGTCCGACCTGTACAGTGAGTTTCTAGAGGACAGAGGATGGGACATGTGTCTTATTGAATATTTATTTATTTGGCTGGACCAGGTCTTTCTTAGTTGAGACATGTGGATCTAGTTCCCTGACCGGGGATCAAACCTGGGCCCTGAGCATTGGGAACTTGGAGTGTTAGCCACTGGACCACCAGGGAAGTCCTCTGGGGCACATGTCTTAATCATCTTTGTATTTTAGAGCATCTCAGACACAATGCTTTACACACTGATACATACAGTGCTTAATAAATTATGAATTGAATTATCTATATATATATATAGATCCTAAAAATTGAGAATCATGCTAACTGCCAAGCACATGGTATGTGCTCAATAAAGGGTGATAACTATCATTAACTATGTATTTCTTTCTCTTTGAAACTCCCATAGCATACACTGATCACTTTATCACTTCCATGACATTTACCACTCTTCACTTTGGAATCTTTTTTCTTTTAAATATTTATTTATTTGGGTCTCCATTACAGCATGTGGGATCTAGTTCCTTGACTAGGGATCAAACCTGGGCCCCCTGGCATTGATAGCATAGTGTTTTAGCCACTGGACCACCAGGGAAGTCCCTATTTTGGATTCTTGGTATGTGCATGTGTTTATTTCTACAAAACTGGATGGAACGCCTGGGGGTTATTCATCTTGGTGCTCTCTCTCTCAAAAGTAGCTAGTCAAGTGCATCAAAGATGCACAATAAACATTGCTGAGTAAATTGATTTTCTGAGTTCTCTTTGAAATTACCAAATATGTTCTCAACAGGTTCTTAATGTCTTGGGGGTAAAAATGATAATGACAATACTGGTGATTATGATGGCATTCAGCAGCCTTCATCATGATGATTCCTTGACCCTTATCATCTTTCACCTTTATGAGGTTAAGGGTTGGCAGGAGCTATGTCTACGCTGTAAATGCTGAACATGGCATCTTTTGGTTCCACGGAGATAAAAAGAAGGGTAGCTGGCATACACTGAACTGTATCCCCTCTCCCTCACAATTGATTTGTTGAAGCCTTAACCTTCAATGTGACTCTATTTGGAGATGGGTCCTTGGGGCCTTTAGAGAGGTAATTAAGGTTAAATGAAATCATAAGAGTGGTGCCCTGATCCAGTAGGATTCATGTCCTTATAAGAGGAAGAGACACCAGGAGTGTATGCACAGAGGGAGGCCGTCCAAGAAGGTGGCCATTGGCAAGCCAGGAGCAGAGGCCTCACCAGAAATGGACTATGAGTTTGGACTTCCAGTCTCCAGAACTGTGAGATAATTAATTTCTGTTGTTTAAGCCACCTACTGTGTGGCATCTTCGAAGACTAACATAGTAGCCTGAGTCTTAAAAGTAAAAAACATTGACTTCTCTTTGGTTTTTAAGTCCTCTTTCACAATTATTTGGTCTGGGGCAACCTGGATCCCACCTCCATTCTGTCTTTCTCCCTGAGTAGAAGTTTGGAATGAAAGCAGGAGATGTGCTTTCAGTCCCTGTGACGGTTAAGTTTATGTGTCAATTTGACTGAGCCATGGGACACCCAGACATTCAGTCAGACATTATTCTGGGTGTGTTTGTGAAGGTGTTTCTGAATGAGATGAACATCTGAATCGGTAGACTGAGTACAGCAGATTGTCCTCCCCATTGGATGAGGTGGGCCTCATCCAATAAGCTGAAGATTTGAATTAAATGAAAGGGCTGAGTAAGAGGCACCAGCTGCCCGCCTGGCTGCTGAGTTGAGACCCTGGACTTCTGCCTTGCTCTAGAGCTCACACCAGCAGCTCTCCTGGATCCAACTTGAAGACTATGTCTTAGACTCCATGATCATGCAAGCCAGCTCCCTATTTTCTCTCTCTGTGTGTGTATGTGTGTCTCCTATGGGTTCTATTTCTCTGGAGAACCCTAGTACAGTCCTCCTTTTTGCAGGTGGAGAAACTGAAGTCAGATACAGGCTGTTTACAGAGAAGAGCAACATTGCTCTTGACAGCTCGGAATTTCCCTGCTCCTTGTAGAGATTTTAAAGTATCAGTCTCAAAAGCAGGTGATTTGGACCCATCTAGGATCCAGCATTTCATTCTTGTAAAAAGAGTGAAGTAGGGACTTCCCTGATGGTCCAGTGATTAAGAATCTCCCTTCCAATGCAGAGAACGTCAATTTGATCCATGGTTGGGGAACTAAGATCCCACATGCCACGGGGCTTAGAACTAAACCCAGTACGCCACAACTAGAGAGAAGTCTGCGTGTCACAATGAAAGATCCCACCTGTGGCAACTAGGACCCGATGCAGACAAGAATAAATAAATAGTAAAAAAGAAAAGACGGAGTTTGCTTTGCCAAGGGGAGACCAGAGCCTGGAGGAAGACCTGGTACTTCCAGGCACCCACACTGCTAGGGGAAGCTTGAGATTCCAGGAGGAAACTATATTTTATAATAGGATTACCTAGATTTAGGCACTTGCCACATGGATTTAACTCTGGTAATGGGTGATTGCCTGCCTTAAGACCACTTGCATCTGAATGCTGGGCTCCCTGCTTGTGTCCCAGCCCTGCAGGTGCTGAAAGGGAGGGGGCGCTGATGGCCACAGAATCACAGGTGCACTGGTGCCCCTCTGAGGGCTGACCGCTGCACAAAGGTGGAGCCACACAGCCCGGGCGGCCCTGCTCCCAGGCGTGTCCCCTCCTAAACCCACCGAGGAGGAGGGTCTGGGTGGCCTTGTTTTAAGCAGGGGACAGCAACATTTTCCTGACGGTTCTGATTCCTCCCCTGTTCCCTGCCTGCCAGCTGGCTGACGTCAGAAGTGGGGGCTTTCAATGCATCCACTCCCATGGTGTGGCCTTTGATCCTGGCTAAGCTCAGCTTCCTGGGTGGGAGCCGGGGGTGGGGGCAACCCTTTAGGCCCTCACCTGCCAGTCACAGGAAAATGAGATGGAGGGCACAGGAGGCAGTGGGCAACTTAGAGCTGGGGGTCCAGGACTGACAGGTGATGTGCAGAGAACACTGAGCTCGGGGAACGAAGAAAAACTCGCCTCCTTCACAAACAGGGGCAAGCTGGTCAGAGGCCAGTGGAGCCCTGCCCTCACCCAACCCGGAGGCTCCTTACTGATCCGTGACCACCTGCCAACCCCATCAAAAGCACCAAACAAGCAGCACCACAGGAAAGACACGGCAGTCAGGTCAGTATCTCCCCTCAGGCCTTGGTGTTCTGTGTACAGCTGACTCTTCACTTTCAGAAGGACTGCTGGGTTCTCTTGTTTTCCAGAAATTTCACAGAACGCTATGGGTAGCACAGAGATCCAGGCTTTCTTGACCATACCCTGGCGGTGTGGTAAAAGAGCTGGAAAACAGCTCTCACCATCGATGTCATAAATCCCCTTTAGAAAACTATCCCAGGAAAAATAACCATGTTGTTTCATGGCCTTTGCACATACAGTCTGCTCAGAGCTATTTACACTAGCAAAAAGCCAGAAAGAACCAGAAGGCCCAGCACACCACGAGGAAGGATTATGTGGCTGCTAAGATGGAGAACTTGGAACCTCGACCGTCACCTCGGTTGGAATAAGGGTCTTTGCAGGTGTGATTAAGATCTCAAGATGAGAGCACCTGGATTAGGGTGCTTCCTAAATCCAGCAACACTAAACGAGACAGAAGAGGATAAGACATAGAAACACAGAATGCGGTAAGGCAAGGGTGGGAAACATTCGGCCACAAGCCCAGGGCCACCAGGAACCCCCAGAGGCTAGAGGACACAGGAGGATCCTCCCTGAGGCCTCTGGAGAGAGATGCCTTGACTGTGGACTTCCAGTCTCCAGAGCTATGTGAGAGTAAGCTTCTATGGTCTGAAGCCCCCCGGTTTCTGGTCATTTGCTTCAGCAACCAAAAGAAACAAATGTGTATAGTAGAGAAGCAGTAATGCTGAAAACTGAATAGATAATATTAAGAACATAGAAAGTACTAGATACATGTTTATGACAAACAATATGCACGTGTATGGAAGAGAAGGGAGAGATAGTTTCTTTTACGCATTTTTTTTTTTTAGTAAGGTTGTTTGAATGAACACATTTCATGTCTTACAAATATAATAAGTAATGTGCCCTGTTCACAACCCTGAAAATACAAGTCTGGTCACCCCGTGTGGCAGGACAGCCACCCCAGGACCAAGCTGTTTTTCACTCTGGTCAAGTGGACATTGGAGTCTTGAGCCCAGCAGTACCACCTCACAGATCCATCATTAAAATCTGAGTGTCCACCCACACCTGCTTCCCTGTCTGAGACAGTAACTCCCTCTCAGGCCACAATCCCCTGCCTTTGTCTTTACCAAATACTCTCTCACAAACCCCATCACCTCCCCAGTCTCCAGCCCCACCTTCCACAAGCCAGAAGAAAAAGGTGAGGCAAACAGCATGTCATTTCTTGACCTAGTCCTGATTAAACAGCCCTGAGAAAGTGTTAACTTGAATTTGCCTATGTAACAAAACACAGATCCCTCAGGGACCATTAATCTTACTTAATCCAACTAAATTGTACCTATATGCAGTCTGTGTCTATTTAACCTATTTCACACACCTATTTCAAATATTTTAAAAGGATTTTATCAAAAAGACTTAACCATCCTATTTTACAATAATAAATATCTTGTAGCATTTTAAATACTCCATTCCCTGTACCACTTAACACCTTCCAGTCTTTTTAGTAGACTTTTGCTCACATGACACAAAAGTATCATAAAGAAAATAAGGCAGAAAAATTTCATCCCCATGTTTAAGGTAAGAAAATAGAGACCTATACCCCTTATATGTGGAACCTAAGAAGCAATGACACAAATAAACTTACTTACAAAACAGGAAGAGACTTAGAAAACAAACTTATGTTTGCTGAGCGAGAAGGGACAGTTCAGAACTTTGGGGAGGTTATGTACACACTGCTGTATTTAAGATGGATAACCAACAAAGGCTTACTGTATAGCACATGGAACTCTGCTCAATGTTACATGCCAGCCTGGATGGCAGGGGGTTTGGGGGAGAACAGATACATATATATGTATGGCTGAATCCGTTCACTCTTCACCTGAAAGTTTCACAACACTGTTAATCAGCTGTACCCCAAAACAAAATGTTTTTGGCATTAAAAAAAAAAAAGAAAATGAGACCTAAAGATTAAATGACTTTTGCAAAGTTACAGAGCAATTCAGCAGCAGAGCCTGCATCTCTTTATAGGGAGAGATTGCTTAGCTTTTCTGCCATCAATCAATGTTGATGCTACTGTTGACGTGACTTTTCTCTAAAAGAAAAGAAATCCTTTTCTCTAAAGGATTTCTGCAAAAATCCTTTGGTTTTTCAACCAAGGCTCCAAATATTACCTGATGCTTGTTAGTCCCCATCTCAGATGGTAGAAAAGGTGACAAGAGTATGTGAAAAGTTTCAGGGTGCTTGAAAAAGAGGAGCTGGGCAACAGTGTGAAATGAGAGCTGGGGTCAGTATTAAAATTAGAAGTGGGTCATAAAACCCAGCCCTGCCAGGCCACCCGGGGAGGGACAGAGGCTCTAGTGGCCCCCACCCCTCTTCTACCTCAGCCCTTCTGCCAGCCTCCCCACCCGCCCACTGGCTGCAAGGCCCTTCTGCCAGCCTGCAATTCAGCCAGCTAATACTCTCCTGAACAAACCCCATCTGCGGCTGTTTTTTCACAGGTTCTCAAGTACTGGGGTTACCAAGAGGGCTGGATGTTTGAAAGATAAAATGGAAAGAAAACCCACCAACATTACAGTGGTTATCTCAGAGGCATGGGATCACAAGTCCCAAATTTGCTTTTATACAAATTTTTAAATTTCTAAAATATATATTCACTGCTTAAAAAAAAAATTTTTTTAATCTGTTTTTATCAAGAGGCCTGGAGGCTGGCCAAAAATACCTGGATCCCACTTTAACCCCAGAGGAATGGCACACATAGGGGTTTCAGCAGGGCCCCGTGTCCACGGCTTTTTTTGAGTACAGGTATACATGTTGTTAGTTTCAGGTATACAACAAAGTGAATCAGTTATACATACAGCCAGTTTTTAAGATTCTTTCCTATATAGGCCATTACAGAGTACTGAGATTTCCCTGTACTGTACGGTAGGCCCTTACTATTTTTAAAAATATGGAATGCTTCACGAATTCGTGTCATCCTTGCACAGAGGCCATGCTAATCTTCTCTGTATCATTCCAATTCTGGCATACGTGCTCCCAAAGCAAGTACCATGTCCGTTGCTCTTAATTTAGCTCCTTGTCATCTAAGAACCAAGATTTCCAGAGGCAGAGAAGCATTCTTCTCATTAACAATTGCTATGTCAAGTTCCAAAGCACTGGGCTGGCAGGTGGTGAGGGAAGCCTAGGGGAGTGTGCAGAGCACATGAGAGAATAACAACCCGCAGCCCCCCGGGTGCAGAGACAGTGGCCCACCAGCCCAGGGCCGCTCCAGCAAGGGAGAAGAGGGGAGAGGTGGACAGGTGCCCTTTCTGCAGCTCACATCAGGCCTCTCACTCTCCCATTTCCCACAGCTGGCTTAGCGGTTGGCAGAGGCAGTGCCACCCCAGACTTAGAAGTGGTGTCCAGGAGTACGAAAGGCTGGCTCTCAGCTTCCCTGTGGCTGGGAAGGTACCAGGCAGGCTGGGCAGAGGGCCGCGTTTGCCAGGAAGTGGCAGCAGAGGTGTAACGCCCATCTGTTCACCTCAGACTTGGGCTCAGAAAAGGGTGGAGCGGCTCCACGGCTTTACAGGGAAAGGTGTGGGGCTTACACCGCGAGCCGGTCCCAGAAGGGAGCGCGGGGCAGCTGGACAGAGTGAGGCAGCCCTGTGAGAGCAGACGCAGACAAACACCCAAGACTGGGTTTAAAAGCACGGCGCACGTGTGCAGCACGCCGTCATCTGTGGAGAGAAAGAGGAGCTTAGCATCAGAGTTTACGTGGAAAGATCTGGGTGGCAACAGCGGTGGGCAGGGGGCAAGAGGTGCGGAGCAGGAGGGAAAGACACTCTTTCACAAACACCTGCTGTGCCTTCTCAATTTTGTACTAGACACATAAAACATCGTTTTTAAGAGCATGAACACATGTGAGCAAACACATCCACGGTGTCGTCTGCACAAAGCCATGAAATGCCCTCAAGCCCCTCTCTAGAGGAAGCACCCTGTGTCCTCCCCTCCACTGCCCACCCCACCCATGATAGCCCATCTAGCCTAGCCCCTTCTTACCTCACCATCTCCCCAGCTGCCCCTCAGCCCCGAGAATCCAGTCATATCTCACACCAGTGGAAGCAACCCACTCGCTGGGGCCAAGTTGGCACATGCAAGGATGGCAAGCTCCAGCGGCTGGTTTTTGGGTACATGAGGGGCACTGTGAGCAGTGAGGGACGTGGATTGTGGAGGGGACTCCTGTCTTATGCAAGCTGTAGCCTGGGGGGTCACTTTACCCTGGGGTCTCCATTTCCTTAACACACAAAGAAGGGGCTGTAACGGGGTGGGGGGGGGGTCTTTCCAGATCACAGGTCGGCAGGCCCCATTCACGGCCACTTCTCTGGACCCGCTGTGTACTGGGTGCTTCAAGCGCAGGCCCACAGAAACACGATGTGAGCTCTCCATGCAAGCTGAAACATTCTGGGAGGCCCACAAAAAAGTGGAAAAAACAGGTAGTAAAAGATTTTATTTAGTCCAATATATGCAGGTTATCATTTCAATATGCCATCAATATAAAAATTACTGAGTCTCCACTCTTTAGCTTTATGTGTTTGTAATCAGTGTTATATTTTATATTTACACAACATCTTGATTTGCAATACGCAATCAATATAAAAATTACTGAGTCTCCACTCTTTAGCTTTATGTGTTTGTAATCAGTGTTATATTTTATATTTACACAACACCTTGATTTGGACCAGCCACACAAGGGTTGGAAGGCAGCGGAAGCTAGTGGGGACCTCCCTGGCCAGCACCGGTGCTGGAGTGACCAGGTGGCCCGCCCTTCGCCTCAGATGTCATCCGGCTCCGCGCTGAGGCCAGCCGGAGCTGCAGCTGCACCCCCAGATGAGGCCCAGCCACTCGAGCAGCGGGTCCTTGCCGGACGAGGAGGGCAGCTGGGGCTGGATGCCAGACAAGACTGCAGAGCACCAGGCGAACAGGAAGCCAAGATGCCCGAGGCCTGGAGCAGGGTCACACAGGCTTCGGGGTGACAGAAGTCAGGGTTTCCACAACACAACCCCCCTCTCCCACACCAGAGCAGAGGCTGCCTGTCACGTCAGTTACATCCACTCATTCTCTGGCATGCCTCTAAACACCTTCTAATCCCCGGCCCTCAGTTGGGCAGTGACAACACAGTCATCCCTCATGGTGCTCCATTCCACCTGGAGCAGGAACCTGCTAACACTGCCCTGGAGGCTCATTTACTCACCCAACTCACACAAAAGTCCCTGTGAGAGGAGAATCACCTTACAGATGAGGTTAAATCACTTCCCAACAGCCACACACCATTTAGTGGGAGGGCAGGACCCTCCCCCCATTTCAACATTGCAGTCACACTCCCCAGCTTCAAAGAGGCCCCAGAATCCCACAGCCACAAGGCATGGGGCCACCACTGCAGAAAGTATATGAAACAGGGGCCGGGAGAGGATTCCCAGAGGTGACCCACCAGGAGAGAGGGGAGCTGGGCCTCCAGAGGATCAGCAGGTGCAGAAGCTAAGAGGTGTGGGGGTGCAGTGCTCAGAAAACCCTAACTGCCAGCGGCTGGATTAGGCCCCACGTGAGGTGGGGGTGTTGTCCAAAACTAGTGCCCAAGGTCCCTAAACTCCGTAAGAACCTGGGTTTTACCCTCAGGCCAGGGGAAACCACTAAAGAGTTCTATCTGGGGCATGAACAGGACCAGGTTTTAAAAATCACTGTAAAGGAGAAATCCCGAAGCCTGATCAGCTCCCTTTCTCTCAGCATGTTTTACGACACCCTAGGACTTAACCTCCCAGGGCCTGAAGTCTACTCACTCAATCATTCTATGAAAGAGATGCCGCTGACCTGGAGCTCCTGAGGGTCTTAATGCAAAGCTGATAAGCCCCTGGTTTTCCTGGCCTGCTAAGTGCCTCCACCCCCAGCCCCACAGCAACGGCCTCCATGTCGCCGCAGAGAGACAGGGAGGATTCTTGTGCCCAGACAGAAAGTGCTGAAACATTCCAGCTGCACAACCACCAGGGCCCTAGTGTCTCCCACCCCTAGACAAGGAAGAACATCGCTCACTGCCTCCCAAGCCTCCCCTCTGCCCAACCCCCTCCACACATCCTTCCAGCTCCCCTGATTATCCGCTCCATTTTCAGTGCATCAGCTTTTGAGGCTGACCTACTTTCCAAGGACACAGGAGCAGAAACACTTGTGCATTATAGGAACAGCAGAACATAACTAGAACAGGACACAGAAAGGGGGGAGCCAGCCACAGTGTGTACCAAGGATGCAGCAGACACTGGTGAAGGACCAGCAAGGCAGCACAAACCATCACCTTGAGGGGGGTGGGAGGGCAGCAGGAGGGAAGGGGCAACAGGAGGGAGAGGGCAGAGACACCTCCTCACCCAGCTCCGCTTGGCCACTGACGGCTGGAACACTGAACTCAGTCCAGGAGGCAGCTACCCAGATCCCCTTATCCCGTCGGAAGAGGACCTGAGGCTCAGGAAGCCACGCTCGGTGTGAGCAGAGAGCAGCCCACGGCACAGCTCGGGGCTGGGTGGGGAGGTGGGAGTGATAAACCAGACCAGACTATGGAGCCTGTCCCGTGGGCCACCTTCAGAGCTAAGTGTTCCATGCAAGTGAAAGGCCAAGGTCTGCCAGCCAGGACCTTGCCCTGAATTTCCAAATGCACGAACCTCTGGCCTGAAAGATCAACCCCTGCCTCTGTAGTAAGACGGATAGTGCCAAGGAATGTCAGGGAGGAAGCACTCCCCTCCCGCAACCCCTCCTCTGCAGGGGCCTCTGCAGGGCTGTGCGGCTTGTCTCCACAATACCTACTTAGTCCAGGAGGCAGCTGCCCAGATCCCCTTATCCAGTCGGAAGAGGACCTGAGGCTCAGGAAGCCACGCTCGGTGTGAGCAGAGAGCAGCCCACGGCACAGCTCGGGGCTGGGTGGGGAGGGGGGAGTGATAAACCAGACCAGACTACGGAGCCTGTCCCGTGGGCCACCTTCAGAGCTAAGTGTTCCATGCAAGTGAAAGGCCAAGGTCTCCCAGCCAGGACCTTGCCCTGAATTTCCAAATGCACGAACCTCTGGCCTGAAAGATCAACCCCTGCCTCTGTAGTAAGACGGACAGTGCCAAGGAATGTCAAGGAGGAAGCACTCCCCTCCCGCAACCCCTCCTCTGCAGGGCTGTGCGGCTTGTCTCCACAATACCTGCCAGGCCCGCCAGAGCTGGGTGCAAAGGGGAGGGCGTTGAGGCAGCCCGACACAGTGCCCCAGCCAGGTCAGCTTCCCCTGGAATTAGGCTGGCCGCACTGGCAGGGCCCATCCAGCTGCAGGAAACAGGCTGCCGAGGACGGGTGACTCCGCTTCTCCAACAGTCTTGGGGCGCAGGGGCTTGAGGTGAGCAGGGAAGACCACTCAGTGCTGGATGGGAAGCTGGCAGAGAGGAGGAGACACGGCCTCGCGGATCCGCTGGAAGATCTGAGTCAGCTTGTAGAGGAAGGGCAGGGAGCGGGGAGACGCTGCGGGGAGAGGCCAGTCAGTGCCCACCCTACCCCTCCCACGCCCACTCAGCCACGCCTCCCCCAGAACTCTCCCACCCCCGGAATGACCAGGCCAGTGCCCCTCCTTCCCTCCCAACAGGAGAGAATTCCTCTTTCTCCAGAATATAATCTCTGGGTTGTATTTTCTTTACGTGGACGAGAGAAAACTTAAGTTTGCTGAGAAAAAGACCCAAATTTATTAATTTTTTTATGTTTTAATCTAACTTTTTAACATTAAAAAATTGGTAATGGTGGCTGCCTCTGTGGAGACGAATTTGGGAAGAGACTTTTCACTATATTCCTTTTTGTACCTTTTAAGTTTGAAGCCAAGCCACAATACTACCTCTTTTTATCCTAAGTTAATTGTATTAACAATAAAATTAAAATCAGCCTCTTTCGAAGGAGAGCTGAGCTGGCTGCTTTGGTTTGTTTTTCCTTATTTGAATTACTGATTTTTTAATTGACTTTTTTCCTTCTTAAAAAGAAATATGTTACTTTTAAGAAAGCTATTCCAATCCACCCTCTTCACGTCCTCCTGGCCGGGTTCTAACTGCAGCCCAGCCCTGGGCTCTCACCAACCTACATGGGCTGTCCTGAGCACTCCTGGAACAGCCCCTTGCCATCTCCACTCAGAAGACCAGGGTTCTGAGACTGAAAGTCTCTTAAGGACCACAAAAATCTTTCTAATTTTTACTAAGTCTCTGGAATAAAGTAAAAGGTCAAAGGGTGGACAGGACTGAACACAAACTCCTCAGCTTTCCTGAGAGCTAACCAGCGACTCTCTCCTCAAGCAAACAGAGCTGTTCAGAGGAATCTCCTACTTGGTGTCAGCCATGGGGTCAAAGGGACAAGCTGGGCTGTGCAGAAACAGCTCCCGGACAAGAAAAAGGGAAGTGGGGACACAGCTTCTGGGGTTAAATGAAGAGCAGGAGACAGAATGTCTGTGTGACCGTGGAGCAGTCACTTCTCTCTGGTTCCTAGGTTTCCCAACCGAAAAAGAAAATGAAAATGAAGGGATTGAAATAAGGGTTTCCAGTTTTCCTTTCAGTTTTGAAAGTTATATAACCCTAAGTCTAAATTCATGAGAAGAGATTAGGTTATAACCCACACAAAAGTAACACACAGAAAAGTTCACGAGTGAGCTCCTAACCTCTGGCTCAGTGCTCACAAGGTCTGAGTAATTCACTCTCGGGACAGAACACAGTAGAAAACAGCAAGAAATCATCAAAATGTTCGGAGGTATCACTTTACACTGGTCAGAATGGCCACCATCAACAAGTCCACAAGCAATAAATGCTGGAGAGGGTGTGGAGAAAAGGGAACCCTCCCACACTGTGATGGGAATGTAAATTGGTGCAGCCACTATAGACAACAGTATCAAGGCTCCTTAAAAACTAAATACAACTACCATATGATCCAGCAATCCCACTACTGGGCATGTATCCAGAAATAAACATAATTCAAAATATACGTGCACCCCAATGTTCACAGCAGCACTATTTACAACAGCCAGGACATGGAAGCAACTTAAACATGCTTTAAGAAAGGAATGGACAAAGATGCAGTACACATACACAGTGGGGTATTAGTCATAAAAAGGGACAGTTAGAACTGGACACGGAACAACAGACTGGTTCCAAATAGGAAAAGAGTACGTCAAGGCTGTATATTGTCACCCAGCTTATTTACTTATATGCAGAGTACATGAGAAATGCTGGGCTGGAGGAAGAACAAGCTGGAATCAAGATTGCCAGAAGTATCAATAACCTCAGATATGCAGATGACACCACCCTTATGGCAGAAAGCAAAGAGGAACTGAAGAATCTCGTGATGAAAGTGAAAGAGGAAAAAAAAAAAAANTAAAGGAGATCAGTCCTGGGTGTTCATTGGAAGGACTGATGTTGAAGCTGAAACTCCAATACTTTGGCCGTCTGATGCGAAGAGCTGACTCATTTGAAAAGACCCTGATGCTGGGAAAGATTGAGGGCAGGAGAAGGGGACAACGGAGGATGAGAAGGTTGGATGGCATCACTGACTCGATGGACATGGGTTTGGGTAGACTTTAGGAGTTGGTGATGGACAGGGAGGCCTGGTGTGCTGCGGTTCATGGGGTCGCAGAGTCGGACACGACTGAGTGACCGAACTGAACTGAAAAAGGGACAAATGAAATTTGTAGAGACATGGATGAACTGAGAGGGTGTCATAGAGTGAAGTAATTCAGAAAGAGAAAAAAAAGTATCGTATATTAATACATATATTGTGGAATCCAGAAAAATGGTATAGATGACCTTATTTGCAAAGCAGAAATAGAGACACAGTTGTAGGAAACAAATGTATGGATACCACGGTGGAAGGCGGGAGGAAATTGGGAGAATAAGATTGACATATATATACTATCAATGCTATGTACAAAATCGAAACTGATGGGAACATACTGTATAGCACAGGGAACTCGACTCAGTGCTCTGCAGTGATCTGAACGGGATGGAAGTCCAGAAGGGAAGGGGTATACACACACACACACACACACACACACACACACACACAGCTGATTCATTTTGCTGTACATTAGAAGCGAACACCACATTGTAAAGCAACTATGCTATAATAAAAATTAATTAACACAAACCAATAAAAAGGAATCACCGAAATGTTCAACAACAGGGCACTATAAAATCAATTATGGAAGTTACTGAAAACACTATTTAGTCGTGTAAAGTTTTGAAGCCATTTTTTTTGGTGGGGGGAGGGCCACAATTCATGGCTTACAGAATCTTATTACTTTGATCAGGAATCGAACCCAGGCCTTCAGCAGTGAAAGCATGGTGTCCTAACAACTAGATCGCCTGGGAATTCCCTAAAGCCATGTTTTAAAGAATACTTATAGGGAATGAGGAACTGGAAGAAGGCTGTCAAAAAGTCCTTTTAGTTATAAGATAAATAAGTATTAGGAATGTAATGTACAACATGAATATAATTAACACTACTGTACATTACAATGAAAAGTTAAGAAAGTCTTAGAGTTTCTCATCACAAGGAAAAAAATTTTTTTCTATTTTTAAAATTTTTTATCTACATGAGAGGCTAAATGTTCACTGTACATACTGTGGGAACCATTTCATGATGTATGTAAGTCAAATCATTATGCTCTACACAAACTTATACAGTGCTGAACGTTGATTATATCTCAATAAAACTAGAAGAAAAAAAAAGAATACTTAACGACAAGCAAAACTGCATCTACATCAAGAGAAAGACTAACGATTACAGTAGCTGACTGAAGGGTGATTTGTTTTCTCCTTTATACTTTTCTCTATTTTCCATATTTTCTAAAATATTATATATTTTTCCTATTGTAATTGTATTTCTACAATATACTATGTTTTAATTTAAAGTAACTTGTTTACACACTTTGATGAAGTTTCCTTTTTTCCTTTTTAATTCTGAGGGGACATCCTGGTGGTCTAGCAGTTAAGAATCTGCCTGCTAGTGTTCTGACCCCTGGTCTGGGAAGACCCCACATGGCTGCAGGGCAGCTAAGCCCATACGCCACACCTACTGAAGCCCCAGTGCTTCAGAGCTGGGCATGGCAGCCACTGAGCCTGTGCACCACCACTACTGAACAGCCCCTGCTTGCCACAGCTGGAGAAAGCCTGCGTGCAGCAACAAAGACCCAGCACTGCCAAAAACAAGACAGATGAGCTCTGAGGCTCTACTCAGAGTTCACCCCTGGACGTCCAGAGTCGACAAGGCAGAGTGGACTTTCTCCAGGACTGGTCTCTCCTTTAAGGTGAGCTGGGCTGGCTCCAGCTCAGGCCCACCAACTCCTCCTTGCAGATGAGACCAGGGAAAACCCCCAGGAGGGCTTCCAGGCCCAGCCCTGGTCAACCGCCCTGTGCCGGGAGGGTGGGAGGGGAGGCAGGCATCTTCACTCACCTGGATCAAACCTCAGCACCAGGAGACAGAGGAGCAAGGCAGCCAGCAGGCTCTTACCGAAGGGCAGAGAAAAGAAGTGACTGACTGCAGAGTCCCAAAGCTGGCGCAGCAATGTCAGTAGTGACAGGAACTTGTGGGGGGAGGAGGAGTCTGGCGGGGAGACAGAGTAGAATTTCAGTAAAGAAGCAGCTTCTCGATTCCGAGCTTTGAGTCTAATCATACAAGTCAAGCCAAGACTGGTATCCTCATGCAGTCCACAAAATGGTTCTAAGGGAGCTCCTTCAGCACTGATTATATCAGAACACCAGCTCCAAGAGGACTCTGGCATCACCAGACACCAGCTCTACGGGAGAGGGCTCTGACGTCACCAGACACCACCTCCACAGGAGAGGGCTCTGACGTCACCAGACACCACCTCCACAGGAGAGGGCTCTGACGTCACCAGACACCACCTTCACAGGAGAGGGCTCTGACGTCACCAGACACCACCTTCACAGGAGAGGATTCTGACGTCACCAGATACCATCTCCATGGGAGAGGATTCTGGCGTCACCAGACACCACCTCCACAGGAGAGGGCTCTGACGTCACCAGACACCACCTTCACAGGAGAGGATTCTGACGTCACCAGATACCATCTCCATGGGAGAGGATTCTGGCGTCACCAGACACCACCTCCACAGGAGAGGGCTCTGACGTCACCAGACACCAGTTCCACCCGAGGGCTCTGACGTCACCAGACACCAGTTCTATGGGAGAGGGCTCTGACGTCACCAGACACCACCTCCACAGGAGAGCACTCTGGCGTCACCAGACACCAGCTCTGCAGAAGAGGACTCTGGCATCACCACACCAACTCTGTAGGAGAGGACTTCAACAGAAATGTCAACTTAGTTGGGGAACCTGGTACCTCTGGTGTTTCTTTAACAGCCTCACAGCATTCTTTATATTCTGGCCTAAGACATATGCACAGTTACACAACAATAATTCTTGATGATCAGTACAGGCAGAAAACAAAGGGCACCTCTACAGGCACAGTGAAGAATCCCATCTTGGACTGAGCACAAACATGAACACCACCTCCAAGCCCTGAAGACACCCTGGACTCGCCATCCGAGCACCTCCTCCCCGGGCTCTGGACAGGCAGAGGGTTTGTGAAGTTACATGGAGTCCCTGGAGTCTACAACCTGCTGCAAAGAAGTGACCCTGCTTCAGCAGGTCCCTGCTCTTAGGCACATGAAGAAACCACCTCAGAGACAGGATTAGTCTCCTAAGGGCTGAAGGTCCTCCATGTACGCCTATTCTATGTGTCACGAACAGAGAAAACAAAGATCAGGGGGTTAAAACCTACCAGGAGGAAAACTTCAACTCAGTATCAGGAAGAACTTCCCTACACGACCCTAAACAGCTGAAAGGCACTGCTTCAGGAGACAGTGAAGCAACATCCCATCCAGGCCAGCACAATGGAGAAAGATCTACCGACAGGGGCCCACAGAAATGACTTTCAGGAGACAAAAGTAAGGTTCTGAGATCTGCACCACCTGCCCCCAAAGCCAAGTGCAGAGGGGCTGGGCTTTTGAAGCACCTCAACAGGTTTCTTATCCTGCAATCTGGAACTTACTCATACAAAGCATTGTTCCCAAGGCCCAGGAAGGTCATGATGGACCCCAGGTCCAGGAGGAAGCCCTCAGCTTCTGCACAGAGGGCCGCAGAAGGATGATGTCCCACCTTCCTGGTTTAGTGTCCGCGTCTCCTCAGAGCCAGAGCGCCCATGTGTCTGCTGCTGCCTCGCTGCACTAATGGCCTGAAGCGCGTCCAGCCGCTGTTCCTCGCTGAAGGCCGCAGAGCCCACCACCAGCTCTTCAGCCTCTGACAGGAGGCCCAGAGGAAGCAGCACCCGCTGCAGGTGAAGTTCTGCTAAGGATCTATACTCTGGAAGGCCCTGGTTGTCAGGGTCTTGAAGCCAAGCACGAACGCCATCCACCACGGCTCCCGGCTCTTGCATTTTGCTGTATAAAAGAACGCTGCAACCCCCAAATAATCCAATCCCAGAAGAAGAGTGGTCAGTGCTTCATGGTTTGTTCATTTCTCATAACCACTACACTCCTCCTACCTAGCCCCTCCTTTGTGCCCTCAAGTCCTTCCCTACAGGACCCTGACAGGGTAAGAATCAGGAGTTCTCAGGAGCAGCAAGCAGCTCTCTCGGCTCTGACACACCCCACTTCTGTCACCCCACTTCATGTCTCCCATCCTTTCCTGTGTTCCCTACCCCACTCTTAAATTCCTTCTTCCTCATCTTTTATTACATATGGTTTGAGTCTGGAGGGCACCGGGGGGAGGGGGGGTGGGGGACAGGGAAAGAATTAGATTTAAAGGGAAATGGTATGGAAGGAAAAAGAGGAGATATGAGAACTGAAGGGGTGTGCTGCGCTTAGTTGCTCAGCCATGTTGGACTCTGTGTGACCCCATGGACTGTAGGCAGCCAGAATCCTCTGTCCATGAGGATTCTCCAGGCAAGAACACTGGCGTGGGTTGCCATGCCTTCCTCCAGGGGATCTTCCCAACCCAGAGATCAAATCCAGGTCTCGCACATTGCAGGCAGATTCTTTACCAGCTGAGCCACCAGGGGAGCCCAAGAATACTGGAGTGAGTGGCCTATCCCTTCTACAGGGGATCTTCCAGACCCAGGGGAAAACCCTCTTGCTCCTGCACTGACTCAGTGAGGAAGCAGTAAGGACCTAAGGACCTACCACAGTTCCAGGACTTTGGGGGGAAGCTTCTCAGGAGCCTGGTAATACTGAAGAACCCAGGACAGGACTTCCCGCCACCGATCCATTTCTGCCAGGGCCTGGATGCCCACAATACACAGAGAGCATTTCACCTCCAAGGAGCTGTCAATGAAAAAGCCAATTTGAGTTCAGAAGTGGTTCACCTGCACTGCCATTCCCATCTTCAGCCTGGGACTGTTCTTCACCAGCAACCAAGTCAGTAGCTATTAACTCTCACCTCCCACCTCCAGTATTCAAGTGGGCCTCACAATTATGACCCGTCTCAGGAGGCCTAGCAAGAGAAAACTGCCCTTTGCCCAGGAGCTGTAAGTTTCTATAAATCTAAAGGCCAATCAGCTGCTGACCAGCACACGTCTCTGTATCCAGGTAAAGTCAGGGTTAACCAACAGAAAGCGTTCATTTACTCCCAAGGGGAAAAGAACAGCTGCAGCACAGATGTGGGTGGAAAGAGGACCACCCCTAAGAGTTTGCTTAGTGAAGAAAGGGCAGAAGCAGTCTCCCACCAAGCGCAGCAGCAGAATCACACCCTCAGCCTTTACAGCACCCAGTCTTCACCGACCCCCAAACACTCAGCGAAGGGTCCCCAGTTCATCCTTCTCTGGGGCCAGCTTTGACCAGTCTACCCACGCCCTCCCTAGTGTGACCTAATCCAACGAGCAATGCCGGACCAAGATTTCAATTCTTTGATCCAATCCTACAAGAGGACCAGAACACGACTCCTGCTCTAAACCCCAACCCGAGGAGTGAGGGGGACTACTTCGGGGAGGGGTGGAAGGAGAAGACTTCCGCCATCACCTTACTGCAGTAATTTAAACAAATCAATTCTATCTTCCCATTATACCATTCTACCCTGGTACACAGAGAAAGAATTGATTGTGGGGTCCCACTAAACCCCGTTCACATCTCGACCGTTTCCTCCTCGGAGAACCGGCACAAGGTGAGAACCTGCCTCGCGGAAAACCACCGCGAGGAAAACAAGGAATAAGGGTCGCACGAGCAACCAGATTGCAGGAGTGTTGGGGTCTGGAGGCCTCCCACTGTTCCCGGAGGCGAACCGAGCCCCGAACGTACGCGCCCGCCGGCTCCTCCGCCAGGCCCTGCCAGGCGCGTTCGCAAGTGCGTAGCGCCGCGCCGAAGTCCAGGTGCACCACCAGCAGGTCGGCCGCCTCCTCCAGCAGAAGCGCGGCCGCCGATGGGGCCGGGGCGGCACGCACGGGCTCGCTGCTCCGCAGGGCGCCCCCGAGCGCCCTCAGGGGGGCTGCGGAGGTCGCGGGGTCACTCTTCATAAGTGCGCGCCAGGGCGCAGCCCTCTAGGGGCGCGGGGTGTGCGGTGCAGTCTGGGGAGGAGGTAGGGGTGGTCCTCACAGGCTGCTCTGGCACGGGACAGCCTGGCGTCCTCGGATTTGTGCAGCACTGAGTCCCTGGGCACCCGGCCCCACGACAAGGACTGGGACCCCCGGCCGGTGTAAGGCCGCCCGTGGTCTCCTCAGTTGCAGGGCCGCCGCCGCGGGCTCGGGAATACAGGGGCCGACATCTTCCCTGCGCGCGCAGGCCGGACGCTCTGCGCCCGGTGGCGCGGGGCATTCTGGGAGGTGTAGTTCCGCTCCTGGAGCGATCGTCCTCCAGGGCAGGCGGGGGACTTCGAACTACAAGCCCCGGCAGCCAGCGCTCCGGAAGTTGTCGCGGCGAGAGGAAGCCCGCCAACGGAAGGCGCGGAACGGGGTACGGTTGGAGGCGTGGGGGTACGGTTGGAGGCGTGGGGGTACGGTTGGAGGCGTGTGCCTACGGCATCTGCGCCCCTGATCTCCGGCACGTACCCGCGGAAGCGGGCTGTAAAGGCAGTCCATGTGCCGCCTCCGCCGGGCCCCAGTCGAGCTCACGGTCAGTCCACAGTGGGACTCCGAACCTCGTGCCAAATAGAGATCTCGTGAAAAACAGCCGTACGGTGTGTGATGCAGTTTGCAATAAAGCCCTGGGACAGGGCACGTATTCCTTAGGTTATGGCCGTAATAGTAATTATTAAGTGGTTGTACGCAGACACAAATTACATTTATTACTGTGTTTCACTCAGGTTTTTCGGTGCCTCTCAAGTTTGTACTAAACCCTAGGTTTCCCAATTCCTACCCCGAGGTCTCTTGAAGCGACTCCTCTTGTGATTACATGAGACGGGCCAGGCCAGGAGCAAAGTCAGCACCTGTTCGCGTCAGCGTCCCCTTCTCTGGTCACCAGCCTGGGCCCTCATCTCTGCATAAAGTCCTCCCGGAAGGCTGAGGCAGAAACATCAGATCCGTCAGACTCTGCGGATGAGGAGTATGGAGCCATAACCATATAAGGCCACAAAGCCAGGACTTCACTCACTCCGCATATACCTAGCACCCTGTAAGTGCCAGGCCATCTTCTAAAGGCTGAAGATACCACGTGAACACAGGAGACAAATATCTGCCTCTGTGGAGCTTCCATATAGTGAAAGGAAGCAAAATTAAAAATAAGTAGTATGTCAGATGGTGATAAATGCTAAGGACAAATAAACAAAATAGAGAGGAGAACTTGAGAGTGACAACACTGATGCCACCTAACTTTGTTTTCTAACAGTAAACCCAGGGCTGGAGAAGAGCAGAGCGAGAACCTGGCTCTGTGCTCAGACTGGCCTCTGTTCGTGGGGTCACTGCCCTTGGGACCAACATGTACTCAGTGTCTGCCCTGAATCCCTCTTCATCTCCAGGCAGTGTTCATTCCCACATAGCAAAATCCAGAGCGAGCAGGTCTCTGGGAAGTGTGGATCGGTTCAAGGCTGAAGTTACCGGAGTGTGTTATCAGTTCTGCCTGAGGTCTGACAGCAGATAATGAAGATCAGTAGAAATAACGTAATTATTGGACTTCAAGCAAACAAAAACCACACCTGTTTTTCAGAGCTGGTTTTAGATGTCTTCCCTGTAAAATCAGGGAAGCAGTAGCATCAGGAAACATGTGATCAGGCCTGGGCGAGTTGGGACTAGCACAATCAAGCCTTGGCCTCAGGAGTGGCACCTGAAAGAAGCCCTAAGGAGAAGGCTCTTGCTATGCCCAGGCCTCTCCAGGAGACGGCAGCACAGCCTTAAAAGAAGCTGACCTGCCAGCAGGTAGATCTGTGGCTGCCAGAATGAGGTCAAGATATTTAAGGAAGTGGAAGCTTGCAAAAAATAATATAAAAATAGGATTGTGTTCTATTTCTGTGTTTCATCCAATTTTTGACTGTGCAGGGCCACACAGTGGTCTGTCATCACATAACTTTAGCACTGCTTTGCCCACCAACTGATCCCTGAACACCAGCTCTGTGATACTCCCTAGCTCCATCTGAATGCACCCAGAACTTCTCAAGCTGAGATACAGCAGTCCTACTCTATTCCACCTGAAGTAGAGTGAACAGATGTCTTAACGACTTGGGGCTCATGAGTCAAGAGCTTTGAAAGCACCTTAGGACTTTGCTGGTGGCCCAGTGGTTAAAAATCCACCTGTCAATGCAGGAGACATGGGTTCATTCCCCGGTTTGGGAAGATTCCATTTGCTGCAGAATGGCTAAGCCCAGTGGCCCAGTCACCACACCTGAGCCCACGTGCTGCAACTAGTGAAGCCTATACACCCTAGACCCAGTGCTCTGCAATAAGCACCCAGGGCAGCCATAAATAAGTAAATACATTTATTTAAAAATAAACAAACCACCTAGACTCCCCTTGGGATAAATGAGTGGAAACAAGGCAGTTTTCTCAATCTGTAAGACCTGATCCGTGTCAATATTTGTATTGGTAGAATCCTTTCGGGAAAACTAGTAGGGTAAATGAGACACAAAACCCACACAATAGCCATCCCTCAGCGCACCCAAGCCCTGGGACCTTCTGCTCTCCCTTCTGCTTGTAGGGTGCTCAGTGTATCTTGCCTGAGCAGGGTCCTGAGGGTGTCGATTTGCTCTTTGCTCATCTGCTCTGATGGCACACCACTCCAGTGCTCTTGCCTGGAAAATCCATGGATGGAGGAGCCTGGTGGGCTGCAGTCGATGGGGTCGCAAAGAGTCAGACATGACTGAGCGACTTCCCTTTCACTTTTCACTTTCATGCATTGGAGAAGGAAATGGCAACCCACTCCAGTGTTCTTGCCTGGAGAATCCCAGGGACGGGGGAGCCTGGTGGGCTTCCCTCTATGGGGTCGCACAGAGTCGGGCACGACTGAAGCGACTTAGCAGCAGCAGCAGCATCTTCTCTGAGCAGGTGGTGAGTCTGTGTTTCTGTAGCAGGAAGGGCTCCGGTCTAGCAGATGAGCTATGCCATCTAGAGTCCTGGGGACCTCTGCAAAGTCAGATGAGTCCTCTGAGCTTCAGTTTTCTCATTTGAGGACATTGACACCAACACCTGCCATGTGGGGTGGTTGTAAGGATCAGAAGAGGTCGTATGACAGCCCCCAGAATGCTTTAAATTGCTGGAATAGTTCAGGCCAAACAAGGTGAGATGATAGACTGGGAGGTGAGTAAGGAGGAGAAAGAATCCAATTCCTCCTCAGAGTTCTGTAATCTTAAATTTCTGACACGGAATCTGACTCTTGACTCTTCCTTACAAAGGTCAGATACCAACCTCTGGAACCAGCCCAGCCTGTCTGCCTTTTCCAAGCTGGCTCTACATTTCGTGACAGCATCCACACAGCTGGCCCTCTGGGCTTATCTCTTCCAGCCAGAGCCCCTTGGTACAGGGCCGTCAATGGGAAGGCTCTGCAAGGGGTAGAATCACGTCTGGTGTGGACTTTGGCCAGAAGCAAGCCGAAGAGATAAATATTGGCAGGGTGGAGGTGATGTTTTTCCAGGGTGGTCAAGGGCTCCAGACCTTCGTCAGTTAGATGGCATTTTTATGACTCCTTTTTTTAAAGCCTGGACTTGGAGCTCAGGATAGAACTGAACTGGACTGGCTCCTCCCCTCCATATAGACGCAGCAGAGCCCTCACTCTGCTTCTGCATCTAAGGCCTGCTCCTTGTCCTCCTCCTCGTCCTGTGCAGCACTTTACAACATAGTAATAAGGGCTCAGAGTACCAGGTGCTGCTCCAAGTACTGTACGTCCAACTCCTCTTAATTACCAGTAACCCTGGGACAAGAGTCCTGCTGTCATCCCCATGTTGTAGATAAAGAGGCCAAGGCAATAGGTAGTCACATAGGAGTGCAGAGCAAGGCTGGGACTTCAACAGGGCAGTTGGCTCAAGCCTTTCTTATAAGCTGATACATAATTCTGACTGTACAAGGTGCTCTCACTCATCCTGTGCAAGCTTGACGGCAAAACTGTGAACAAAACAGATATATTAGTGTTCCTAATGCTAGATGGGAAAGTAAAGCTCAGAAACTGTCTGAGTTCAGAATTCATGGTTTCAGCGACAAAGCTGGAGTAGTCACCAGAAATTTCTCACCAGAGTCCATGCCAGGACAGTCTCCAGATGGCCAGAAATGGCATCTCCTTCTCCTCCCTCAAGGTGACCAGTACCACCCCCACCCCCTGCCCTGGGCAGACCTGCCATCCAATTTCCACATGTCCCCACCCACCCTAGGAACCAGAAGGTGCACCTGACCAAATCTTCGTGATGCCAGACCAGGTGTGACGTGAAGCCAGTAAGAGATGCTCCCTGGATACTGGTCAGCCCGGCTTTGTCATGGAAAGTAGAAAGACGCTGGGCCCTTCAGAGTCTGTCCTGCTTCCACACAATTCAAGCTGATCGCTCCTCTCTTAAAACTCCCCACTGTGCTTTGCTCTTTTCATGCCTCTTTTGTGGGTCCTTCCCAATATCCATGATTTCTTGTAGTTATTTTTGTCATTCCCCTACTCAACTATGCCCTTCCTGAAGACAGGACAGGGCCCCCCATCTCAGGATCCCTGGGCATCTGGCATGGTGCAAAGTGCTAGGTGTGGGCTGCTCCAAGGGACCCACCTGCCCTGAGCTGTTCTACATCATCTGATCTTGACTTCCAGGTATGCCCGCTGGTGAACAGTGTGAAAGGTTGGAAGCTGAGGAGATCGTGTCCCAACACAGCCCCTCAGAGAGGAGAGACATATGTGATATATCCAGATCCTGGGATCCCCGCCTGCCTTCTTGTCTGTGCTTTCTTCCTTGTTTCCTAGGAAATAATCTAAGAAACCCAGTCACCCCAAGTGATAGAATTTCAGGGTTGAAAGGGGCTTTATACTGGAGCTGAACTGAGGCTGGGGAGGGGAAGCGACAGCTGCTGTCCCCCAGCTGAAGGCCACAGAACCCCTGACCCATTCTATGCCAGAGAGGAAGGACCTCTGAGGAAACCTTAAAATGTTTCTTCACCAGCTCAGCTATTCCCAAGCTTTGGGGTAGGTCGAAGCATCCAGAGCTGCTATTCATGCCCAGATCCTGGCTAAGAACAGCCACCCCTGTCCCAGGGCTCCCTTCCTCCCCTCCCAGAACAGCTCTGGTTCCCAAAACCTGTGGTTTCCTGTAGTGGGCCGACCCCGGGAGGGGAAAACTGATGGAAGGGCTCTCAACATAGTTTAAT